TGCCACGAAACTTTTTTTTTTTTTTGTTCCAAGTTTGTAACTCAATTTTAATTTTTTATCTCCCGACTAACGGAAAAGTGTCTTGTTGGACGTTGTCGTATCCTTCTACTCTACGACAATATTAAGGTTTGCAACATACTAAAAACGTTGCAAAAGATTTTTGGCAATGTTTTTGAACGTTGCAAAAGACTGTTTTTGTTTACCGCTTAGTTTAAAATGACTTGATTTATGTAAAATGTCTCAAATATCAATATTATGAGAGATCTTATATTTTTTCTAAACTTGATGATGGAACCTATTTTTTTATTACTTTCAAGAGATGAATTGATAAATAGCAAGTTTCATTCTGCACTTTCTCAGAAATGAGGATTAATTTGACCTTCTAGAGTCAAGAACCACACGTTATCTTAACTTAATTCTAAGTGGAAAAATTTGTGGATCTCTTTCATAACCAACTTACGACGCTTGTCACAGACCCACAGTTCATTATAGTTACATTTTCTTGAAATTGTCTATATACTTTGTTGGAAAAATATGGTGCAAAATTTATACTCGGATAGTACTAAAATGTGCATGCAATTATTTTACAAAATGAAATTGGACAGAATTTCGATTTACTAAAAATGTAGGAAAATAAGAATTTTTAAAGAGACGAAATGAAGCAAGGTATGTTAAATGCAAATCTTCTTAAGACATATTTGGTTCATGCATGTACTAGTGCTAATAGGATCAAACAAATGTTTGTATCCTAAGATACAATGCTTCTTCCAAAATTAATACGATACAATATTAATTTTGTTCAACAAACTAAAGCTTAACCATACTCTTCTAAATCGAATGATATTATAGACTAAATTTACGAACACGGAAACTTGAAAGTAATTTGAAAATTACTATGACGGAATTGGGAGGGAGAGGAAGAATTTAGAAATCAATTATTTTGAAATTAATTTGGATGGAAGAAAATGAAATCGAGAGGGTTTAATTCATTTAAATGTGTCCATTCGAAATGATTTCATCTTTTGGTATAAATTCATTTGGATCATCAAATCACACCATGATCCCATGTAGGGGTGGGCGCGGGTCGGTTCGGTTCGGTTCGGTTCGGTTTTTTTCGGTTCCAAAAATTTTCGGGTATTTAGTAAATGGACCCGTCGGTTCCAAATATAATTTTGGAACCATTCGGTTTCGGTTCGG